TTCTAAGCTTAGATCATTGCAGTACTTTGCCTTTTTAACACAAATTCTACCTCCCACACCCCATTTGGCTACAAATGAAACCTATTATTTGTATTATCAGTATGGAAACATTGATGTCCCACTGACAACATTTTTCCCCATATTTGAGATCCAGCAGCATGTCCTGTGTTCATTCTTACCTCCTAACTATTTTTCACACTTTCTGTCATTCTAGCTTGGAGAAGGGCAGAAAAATATGATGCCCTGAACTAGGTGTTATTTTTCACTTTTCTCATCAGTGGCAAGTAAGCCAGAATAGCTGGGGTTTTTTCAGCTTGCATTTGACAAATGGAGAATGGAGTTTAGCCTTTTAAAAATGTCTTTATGTTACAGATTTCTATGTACTATGTGCTCCACGGCAATATCCAGATATTTTTCTGCAGTAGTGCTACAGGGGTTATTCTTGTTCTCTGTGCATTGCATATCTGCATTGTAGAACACTACACTGAAATTTCTACTGGTCTTGGGGTTTGAGTTGGGGTTTTTTGGGTTGGTTTTTTCTTTGGTTGCTGTTCTAATTGATCCAAATAATTTTGCATTTTAAAGTTTTTCTACAAAGAATAAAAATGGATGGCTGCCTTATTCCTGCTGACAGAATGAGGCAGTTCATTGGTGCAGCTTTGGAGCCTTGGGCTGGCCTGGACTCAGATTGTTCTGTGCCTAAGGTTTTGCCTTTAGTTGAGGTAATTTGCCTTTATATGGCCTCTCTGGTTAGAAGTGCTTAGAGCTTGCTTAGGATTGTGACGTGTGACAGCAAGCAATAATTAACCATTGTGAATATTTTCAGTATTACACAGTCTATGTAAAAAAGCAGGATGGAAAGATCTTTCTCCTGACATGGTATCCAATATGTTCAGGCACAACACTTGTTTAGGACTCTGTCACAAAACAGCAAAGGCACAGTTTGGAATCAGCAGATTTTTGGTCATTGTATCTTGATAAGTGTGTCTACTGAGCCGTCTGATCTCTATAAAGCTTTGGGAGACAATCTGATTTATTGCTTTGTCTGAGTATCCTAAATATATGGGCTTGAGAAGACACAGGCTTCAAGGTGACACCCTTCCTGATCATCTCTGTTCATTTTTGTTTTCTATAATAGAAGTGTATTTCTGCAGTGTATTATGCTGTCCCCTTCTGATCCTGCTTCTGAGTCCTATGTGCTACAGGGTTACAGTCTGTGTGGAAATGAGCTTCATGTGTCACTCATATTTCCTTGTATAGTTCCTCCCAGTCTGAACTGAGTCAAAATCACTAGTTTGCCTTGCTTTCCACTCCTTTTAAATGGTACAGTCTCTTAGCAGTCCCAAGGTGCTTCATCCTGTGTATTGTCATTTTCTTAAAGCATACCATCCCATATTCTGTGGAAGACTTAGAGGTCAGGCAATAAGAATATTATTGGGGTGGAGCTCTTCATAACCCTAGCTCTTCAGACACCTATCAGAAAATCAGAAAGAAAAAAAGGTTGAGGTTTTTTAACTGAAGGTGTAAATTTTTTCATTCATAACTTAAGAAAAATCAGTAAGCGTTATTATGAGCTGAGAACAGTTTAAAAGAAGCTATGGAGAAGTGGTCACAAGAAAATCAAATTCATGTAGAACATTCTGCTGAGACAGATCTGTAACATAACAGGGAAAAAAGTACTAAAAATGACAAATCATAACTGTCTTAAAGATATGTAGGTAAAATCATGGAGTTTCAGAAGCTAAAAATTATAAGGTGTCCACACTGACTTAGTGGTACAATATAGCTTGTGTACTTTGGAGAGTAATTCAGCAAGTGTTAATTAACAATGGTACTTTAAAATTCTTCCAAAAACTGATACCAGGAATTCCTTATTTGTATTATTAACAGGGCATTGTTGCAGAAAAATCTTTACCTTTTCAGTTTCATTTTTAGGTCTTAATGTATTGTATTTCCAAATATATTACTTTGCCATTCTAATATGGGGGAAATAGTGTGCAAGGAAACTGAGGCAATTCTAAAGTGGATGAGTTGGAGGCAGGTACTCTCATTTTGCAGAGACTGTGGATGGCCCTAATTAAAGAATGCTATCACTGAATTCAGTGCATCCACCATTACACATAGCAGACTGAATCCCTCCCAGCAGTTGTTCTGGAGCTACCCCATCAGCTTTTTCCATTGGGGTAATGGAATGCAGAATTCACCCGAAGAAATACAAATAATTCAGTGTTACATTGGGTTAGTTTTAGTTAACTAATAAAAAAGGATCGATGCTTTCATAGTTTTTTCATCCTGTTTTTGCAATAAATAGTCTTTAATTGTCTCATCTGAATGTAGTACAAGCAGGCAGGAGCACTTCATATAAAGTGACATTAATGCATTTTTCTCTCTTTTTCTTAATCTATAAGGTACATTGCCACAAAGCCATAATGTTGATTATTAACAGCCTCCTCTACACTGCAGAGTGGCTTCAGCAACTCTGCAAATTGGCTAGATTTGAAGCTGTTAATTATGCAGTATAGTGTGCTTCATAAAGACAGAAATGAATATGACTTGGCTCAGATCTTGTGAGAATAAATTGTAAAAATTGGACCTCTGTTTGGTTTGCATTCTGGCTTCTCAGAGAACACGGACATTCCATATGATAGGCTTGGCAAGTATAAATTGTGTATTCCATTAAAAAATTGGTATGTTCATGTAAAGTTGCATACCTGGCAGAAAGCCAGGAGCTCTGCAGAGGTCCAAGGCTCATTAAGGGGGGTGCTTTTTATCATTTTGTCAAAGAAACTGAGAAACATCTTAAACCCAAATATTGTGTAAATCATAAGGAATGGGGGGTTTCTTTCTTCCCTGTACTCACCAGCCACACTTGTGTGTCTAGAGCTGCCGGGTGGCAATTTGAAGTCACTGTCTGCCTGCTGGAGAGGAAAAGGCACATTCACCAACACATACTGCTCATCTCACAGCCAGAAAAATGATAACTGAGGCTGAGGGGACAGGCATCTTTTAGTTAGGCTCTCTGTTTAGCTTTTATGGCAATGTAGATGTTGTATAAAAAATTATTACAAGAAACTTTCACCTTAGGTTTCCTGTAAATGCATCAGGGCATTTACAGGATGCTACTACTTCTGAAGCAAATCTGTACATATTTGCATCATTTTTCTTAAAGTGTGAAAGCAGATACACAAGCCATAGGATAAAAAACCAGCTCTATAAATTTATAAATCTTCTAGAAATATATTCAGATAAGGAGATATTATGTCAAATATATGAGTGTATCTTTATAACTGTTGCAAGATTGCAGCAGTGTAACTGATTCTAGTTGAAATACCCTGAAAGCAGTATTAAGTGTTCAGTATGTCACAGTGATGAAAAGTAAAATGTCACTTTTGCAGTTCTAAAAGTTTAAGTGAGCTATTTAAAAAGAACAGTACGCCTGGGATTTCAACTGGGTTTTTTTTTAAAACTGACAGTGAAAGAAAATTACTTTCTCAACCAGTGTCTTAATCCACAGAACAAAGAGGACTCTATAGTTTAAACATACTAAAATAGTAAGTGTTAAATTCCTATAACTGTTTGGTGTCATTTGAACTTTGCAGTAAATGCACAGATTTATGTGGTGGAGGGGTTTTTTGATCAGTAAGAAAGGGAATACTTGAGGGAAAACCTTAACTGTATGATTCAAGCTAACACGTAGCATTAAGTTTCTTATCAACAAGATGTATTAAAATGGAAAAAATGAATCAGCAAAGCCATCTTGGGAGTGAGATTATTAAATTCACAGTTTGCTGCTGCTAATTTGTTAGTAGGCTTCAGTTGTTCAACAAAGCTCATACACTCATTTTGCAAAACTGATTATTAGATGAAATGCCCTCTGTCATTGCCATGGGAGAAATAGCTCTGAATCAGGGCTGTGTCACAAATGCAGTTAGCTGAATGATCTCAGCTCAATGCCATTTACCTAACAGAATTATGAAGATCATACTGATATAATGAATAGGTTCTGCTCAGACAAATGTAGTCCCCTGGAGATAAGGGAAATTTGGTGAAGAGCTCTTTGTTTTCTTTGGTTTATATGAAGAGCTTGGACTCTAATTAAGTCAGTCCTTGCACTTCTGTCAGAATTATGTTACTTTATGGTTACTTATTTTGATTTGACAAGCTTCATTTGAGGGAAAGAGATTCAATTATAGAGCTCTTCAAGCTTGTTGCTTCTTGGAGGTATTTTCTCTTAAATTATGTTTCTTTAGCAGGTGTATTTTATTCACTTTGATAAAATATGTCTTAACTAGAATAGCATGGTTGTTAGAGTTAATATGGAACTGGATTCTTTCATGTATTCTACAAAGATTATTGTGTTTTGTAGTCAGCGTTTCATGAGCAAACTCAGGAGCCAACTATAGTCAATTCTGAAGGAACTTTCCCACCGTTTTTTTTTCTTTTGATTAATCATGTTGTTCATATTCATACTTGTTAGAAAATTTTCAGAACAAAAGTTTTTTCAATTTTTCATGTGCACATAGTGAACCCTATACCAGTATGGGTCAAAGACAAAAGATAATACTGAGGACTTTGTAAATAAACACTTACTGTAAGCATCTGATAAGAAAACTGAATCTCAGAATGAAAAAAACCCAGAAATATTAAGATTATGATTTTCAAAAACTAAACTGTTCCCTGCTGTAAATTTCTGTTTCACCACCATATTCTTGAAACACAGCAAGAAACAATAATGTTCTTCTGTGGTGAGTCTTTATGGATGTTCAATGACACTATGAAGTACAGAGAGCTGTACCTCATAGTACCACAGTGCTAGACATTTTTCAGGGACATTTATTTGGAAAGAATTTCTTTTGGAATGTAAGGAATAGTTTTGCTTGTGCATCCAGAAATGTACATGTAGAACAGACCAGAATGGTAAAATATTTTTGCTGTTAAAAACGTTGTGGGTTATTATGTGGCATGAGTATGTATAATAAAATAAATATTAATTCTTTTAGGGTGAAAAAGGAGATAAAGGAGAACCAGGACCAGAAGGCCTTCCTGGAGCAGAGGTAAATGGAATAACAATGAAACAGTCAAGTTACAAACTTCTGGGTGGGTGGTTAAGAAATGCAATTCAGACTTTATGTAAGTAGAGTGATGGATTTAGAAATTGGGTATTCCTAATAAATTAGGGTATTATATTCCTAATAAATTGGGGTAATAAATTAGGGTAATAAATTAGGGTATTATATTCCTAATAAATTGGGTATTCCTAATAAAGTTAATAAAGTTTGCTTTATACCCTCTTCCTGCCCTTCTCCCTCTTGACCTTGATGGGGGTTACCCTGGCTTTAGGTTTTAATGCTGGATGATCTTGGCTCTCCAGGAGCAAAGCATTGCTGTTGAAGGCAGAGAGCATCTCCCAGATGGAGAATGACTGACATTAGGAGTAGAATCCAGATACAGGACTTGGAAAAAACATTCAGTAATATTTTTTTAAGCAGCTTTTCCAAAGGAATTAAAGGGTCAGTATTTAACACAAAAACACTGTGGGAGTCCACCTGGGGCCACTGAAAATGGAGTAAGACAGGCTACGAAATTATGACACTTTTTACATCACCTGGCTTTCCATGCACACTGTAACCATAAAAATATTTTTCCTGTTTTAGGTAATTATAATTTTATACTGGGTAAATCAGGCTATTTTTAAGTGGATGTCCTTCATGTGAGAACATGCACTATGTACTAAGCTGAAACTACATTTAGGTATTTGTAGAGGTATTCTCTTGTAGCCTGTCTGTCTGTAAAGGTGAACCATATCCTTCTCTCATACATACATATATGTTGACAGCATGGAAAAAACACATCTGTGTTTCTTTCCATAGCTCTGGTGACATTTCTGTGTTGGTCTTCCATGATCTTCTTTACTACATGAGATCTTGTTCCATCAACCTTTTAGGAAGAGTAAGGTATACCAAGTATCTAATTAACTCTAGGGCATATTTAACATAGTGGCACTATGAAAGTGAAAAATACTGAACATTCATATTTTTGAATATTTACTGAACTGTTGTAATGTGTCAGTAAATGGTAGATTATTATTATTATTATGGAAACTGTCATTAAAACATTAAAACTGAAGTAAAACTGCATATGGCAGTATAACATAGTACTGTTTGAAACCACACATAATTCTCTTTTAGTAATGCTTACATAAGATGCTTTGAGCTCAGTTATCACTGCATAGAAATATCAGTCTTTAAATTTACAGGTCTGTGTATCATTGACTCTTAGTTTCTATCTGTGTCTCTCTAACTTGCTCTGCAAGCAGAAATGTAACATCTGATATTTCTGCAATAATCAAGTTAATCTACTTACATTGGTATAATCTGCAGTGCTGTATAAAAACTATAAAAACAGTCTGAAAACAGTTAAAGCTAGAGGCACTGCCTTCTGGCAGGTGTTGTCTCTGCCTGGGGAAGTGAGGGTTTCCATCCTCTAAAGAACTTGAAGATAGATGATGACTGAACATTTTTTCTTGAACAAATGGTAGAAACATATTTGAATGTATTTTAATCAAAATCAGAAAAGTAGGTGTCACAGAAAACTTTTGCTTGCTGTTGCTAACTTGTGTTTTCTTAGCTGTACAGAAAGTTCTTGCTAGAAAGAAGTAGCATGACAGAGGGGAAGCCAGACCTGGTTTGGAGACTAGGCTGTAGTGATGAAATACCTAGAAAGTTTTAATTTCCTCTTCTCTCACTCATGCTAACTGGCTCAGTTAATCTCATTGAGAACCAGGTTTCGAGGCGGGAACTGTGAATATATCTGAATGTTCTGCACATCTCCCAGTTTATCTCTCCAGTAATCTGAGCCAAGTTCTACAATGCTGTGTCCCAGCCTGGGACATTATTCAAAATCCATCTGACAACATGAATACTTGCTATAAATACTACTACTGTGGTTGCCATTGTTTTTAGTTTCCTAAGGAGTAGCTATAAATAACTTAATATATTACTAATAGAGTCCTCCTGTAGTACATGTCCATGTCTCTAAGCATGTATTTGCTTTCATAGGTTGAAAAGCCAATTTGATTGAATAGTATCTCTTTCATCCCTTGAGACTCTTTTAGCCACTTGACATTAAACTCAGGTGACAGATTGCTGCTACTAAAATCCTGTAATTTTTTAAGATGTTATTTCCCTTCACCATTCTTGTGGATATTTTGTTTTACAGTTGGGTATGTGACCTGTCTGCTTTTATAACTGAGGAGTTATGGGTTGTCTGGTCTAGTTGACAAGGTGGTTATCAGCGAAAGGTTGGACTTGACAATCTTGGAAGTCTTTTCAAACCTTAATGATTCTGTGATTCTGTAATAATGCTGTCCACTGTAACAAATGAAGCTTCATAGAGACACTACCTGAAAAAAAAAAATATAAAAACACCAGTAGCCTGTGTAGAATAAGGACAAATTTGCAATATAAATATCCATGAAACTATCTGTGGAATATGTTCTCTGTTATATCCATATGTCTGCCTGTTGATCTGAAGTGAAAAGAAGATCTTTATCACAGAAACTTTTAGACTTTTTTTGAGTCGTGTTGTTTCCTTGATCACTGGTGCAGGTAGGAATGAATGCCATGGGATACTGCCAATTACTATTTTCTAACATAAATTAAATCCTTCAGCAAAAGTAAGTCAAAACAGCAAGTTTTATCATATCTGTCAGCATGTGTCATGCATAGCTGGTAGAGGATTAGTGTCTTTCTTGTAAGTGGGGAAAAAAAAAGTTAAATCTAAAATTAAAATCAAGTATATATATTAAAGCAAGTGTTTAACTGATTATTTTCATTTCTCTTGCTGGGGGAGGTAATATCATAAGTGACTTTTCTAAAACTTTCCTACATAAAATTTAATTCTTTACATACCTGATGCCAAAAGATGAACCTCTTAAGTTCAGTAAGCAATAAAAGAATCCCAGGTTTTCAATGGAAAGGTGGAAAACATTTTTTTTATTTTTTTGCTTGTGGGAAAAGGTAATCAGAAGTATGATGATTTTTAAGGGGATCCTGCATCTTGTTGTAATAACAATAGTTGTTTACCTTCACATCCTCAGGACCTGTCTGTTTAATCTTGAGCTCTCTTAGTATTAGCATTGCAAGGAAATACCTGAATAGGAAGAGAATAATTCTATTGTTTGAAAATGTGAAGTTGGTGATGATTTTTGTTTATATCTAGAGTCTGAGAATTCTGTTAGGAACAAAAGTATTAGAAGATAGTAGATTTAATTTAGGGTCCAGGGAATTCTAGAAATATACCACTTTGAAGTTTTGGAATTCCATTAATGAGAAAAGAGCAGTGTCAGTATTTTAAAGTATCTGAGACATAAACTGAAAAAAAGTATATTGTTTGGAGCTATGAAAACACTTTGCTAAATTAGAAAAGTTATCCCGGCATATCCAGGTTGGCATTGTACCACTGACTTTGAAGATGTTGTTAACTTAGATTTTAAGGCTGGTCTGTGCAGGAAATGTAGTACTGCCCTTAGTGGTTAGAGTATTCCCAAGCTCTTTTACTAAGTAGAGATAACTGATCTGATCTGTAATAATGGGGTTGCACATTGTTGTTAAATTGTTGGGTTGTATACTGTATTTCCAGTACATTAGATTATATGTATTGTTCTTGGAGATTTCCCCCTGATGTGACATTGAACCAGATTACTCTAATGAAGGCCACGGGATTGCAAATAACAAATTATGTTTTCCCCAAAAGGTATCTTTTAGAGTTGAAAACCTGTTCTCCTGAATATATGATTGCAGTCTGACTGCATTTTCCATTGCTACATGTGCAGCACAGTATATGCTGTACAAATAGGTGCAATTCCAGTAGGCAACATTTGGATCCTGCAAGGAGCTGCTGGAGTCTTCTGGTTGGACTCCAGCTGATCTTTGCAATTTTTCATTGAGAAAAGTACCTGGTATCAGCTGGTGGTACATTCTACCTGTTTTATCAGTTTTTCATTCATTCCACCAGAAGAAGTACCATTGTCATCTCCTCCAAACAAAAAACACTGCCTCTAATTTAATCTTTCCCTTATCGATCCCAGCTCACACCCTTATAGATATTTGTGATATACTTGTCCCAGTAATTTCTCTGTTGGTTGGAAATTGCATTACAGTTATCAGTCTTATTTTATATATGTATATAGAACATTTCTCATTTTTGCTATTTTCCAGTATTGTTATCTTGTTAGCTTTGAATTGGCCTTGTAGATACATATTCTAATGCTTGCTTTACATTTTGGTTTCCTCCTTCATAAAGGAGCCATAGTGTAAATTTATCATGACCTGTAAAAAGACTACACTGTAGTCCTTTTAAATGTTTCAGCTGAAGACTGTTCATGAACTCATAAATATATATTATTATATTGGTCCCAAAAAGCTAGAATTAGACTGAGATAGAATTCAATACCCAATTAATTAACTCTCTGTTATAGGAGGAATTTTTAATCTGTTCCTAAATTTCTGGCAAATCTGGTAACAGACCCCTTAGATCAATAGAAATTTGTTTGTTTTTAAAACTGACCTTGTTCTCCTAAAACATTGCAGAAAATGAGCTTTTCTAACATAAGGCTTGATCTAAAATCATCCAAATTGTATCTGTTTAGATAACCACATTCATTTTACTGAAGCATCCTGTTCTGGCCTCTGCCAGAGACAGGATACCCTGCTGTACTGTGTTAAAGGGGCTACAGATTTGACTTGGCACAGGAATTCTTTCTTCTTTTGGCATTTCAGAGACAGTGAACCAGCAGCTAAACCTTTCAGCTTCAAAAGGGTGACTGTAGGGAAGAATAGGCATGGTGCATTCCCAGATGTGGGGTTTTTTTGCTATCATTCCCTATGTCTGGAACTTACTAAGTCTATAATATTTTTAAATGCATATATAATGTCTAGGCAAACCAGAAATACTTATAATGGGCCTATAACATTGGGTCCTTTAAAATCCTCCTTCAAACACTGTAAGGTTTCCTGTAAAACATGTAGTTTCCCCTTGTTCTTTTTATTTGAGGTCGATTGTATTTATTTGAGGTCATCATCTCTGCACTAGCTGTTAGACTGCACACCTCATTAAGGTGCTCTTGCAGAAACATTGTTAAAAGCTTTAAACACAGCAATTAAGAAAAAATAAGGTTCATAGTTTGAAAGTGCATGGCTCAGGCTCAGCATCTTTCATCTGCAGTTGCATTTTCTATTCAGTAGAGACACACAGATATATGTCACCATCTGTGAGTTGCAGATTTTTTTTTAGCCTTATCTTTTATCTTCTGTAAACATACAGCCTAAGAGCTAATTCGTAAACTCATAACTATTGTTCCATGGCTGATTTGCTAGTATTGATTTTGAACCAAATCCATACAGTTTGCATACCTGAAAAATCCCTTAAATGGCTTTAAGAATATGGGTTGGTTGTGTTTTATGCATTCTTTCAGAAGGAGGTTGAAAGTAAAATGTAGCAAATGGAGACAATATTAAAGCTATGTCATAAATATGCAGATTGTAAAAAGAAAGCAATTTTTTGGCTTGGTTTTTGAATCCATCTGCCTATTACATTTTTTAAGTTCAAACAGCAAAACTACTTCTGATTTAACTATTACATATTTGGCAAGCTTAATAAAGAACAAATCAAAGCTAAATCAGGGGTATTTACAACAACCACAAATTTAATCCAAAGTGGGTACTTAAATGCTCATATAGTTCTAAATGATGTTCCTTCCAGATGGTGAATTAATGTAATTTTAGCAGGAAGTGAAGTTGCACAAATACGCAGTATTTAGAACACTCATTGATTTCATGTTTCTGTACCCACCAAGGCACAGATGTTAGTTACCATTTTCGTGCCAGTTGTCTCTATCTTCCTAATAATTGCAAACTGAGGAAGAGAGTTTGCAAGGACAAAAAGGGAGCTGGGAAGAACTTTAGTTTGTAAAGCCTAATTCAGATGTAAATGAATTTTTTCTACCCTTGACCTATTTAACCTCCAGAATAATAACGATGGTGGTCTACTTGTGGAGCATCTTATTATGATTGGGTCTTGTATTGCCTCCATTGTTGCCACTTCATTTCTAAGTAAAATCTTTGAACTTGTAGAGGTGTCTCTGACTTTCAATATTCACAGTCTCTCATGCCACTAAAGCAGTGGTGAGAGAGACGGCACAAGACAAATCTCTTGGCTTAAATAAAAATGAATTCCTGGTAGCTTGGTACAGCATGATAATTAAGTTCATTCATTGCTGTAGAATGGCTTGAATTTGCTGGGCCTATTTTGAAATCCCTCATTTTTCCATTTGTTTTGCAGCAAGGAGAAGTCAACAAAGATTGTGTGCTGGGTACTAAAGATATTTTGTGGGGATTTTTGGGTGCTTCTGGTGAGAACTTCTTAGTGGAAGAGTTGTATAGGAGATATTGTAGAGGGTAGATTCAAACTAGGTGTAAGTAGGAAACAGTTTACAATGAAAAAGGTGAACACTGGAAAAGGTTTCTCAGAGAGGCTGTAGGTGTCCCATCCCTGGAAACATCAACGAATGGGTTGGATAGGGCTCTGAGGAAGCTGATCCAGTTGCCAATGTTTGCTGCCAGGGGAGGTTGAACCAGATAATCTTGAGAAGTCCCTCCCAACCCAAACCACTCTGATCCTGGGAGTGTGAAATGGCTGTGTATGCAAGGTGTAAGGCTAGGCAGTACTAATTGCTTGTCCTGTTGAAGGGAGAACTAAAGAAGGATGTTTGAAGGAGATCAATTATTTCTCTAATTGCCTTTGTGAACACTGGTGAAAATGAGAGTGTTGGAAGATGTGCAGCAGCTCTGAGCTGTACCTTGCTGGAGCTCATCAGTTCAGCACTGCTGCTTGAAACATAAAATCTGCAGTTCTCTGTCCACCTCTGCCTTTTTCCCAATTTTAGCAGAGTTCAAGTGAATGTACTAGCACCCTCTCTGATATTCTATTTTATATTTTTTGGCCATGCAAGACTGCAAAAGAACTTTGCATTTCTTCTCACTACTTACCATAATGGGGCACAAAAAAGCAGATTGGCTTTGTATGTTTAATTATGTATTGAAGACACTTTGTGGTCTTTGATAGATGTGTGTCTGTTCACAAAATAATGAAAATAAATAATTTCGAGATAGCACTAATAATGTGATAGAAATCTAAGCCTATTTGTTTAGTGTATACTACTTTACAGCGCTACAGGATTTTGTCCCATAATTTTTCACAGATGACAACAAATATGCATTTCTCTTTTTGCCCAGGGACTAAAAGGTGACCCTGGTAGTCCTGGTGTGGCTGGTCCAAAAGGAGAAAAGGTACATTTTTAAATCTATTAAGTTGTATGTATATGTGAGTGTGCATTATATTCTTCAGTTTTGTACATGTTGCCATAACTATGTGTGGCAAACACCCACTGCTGCCATTTGTGCAAATTAAGGGTTAAATAATATGAGTACAGGCTAACTGTAAATGCAAAAGACAAGTGCCATTTATCACAATGAATTTTAAAAGGAGTTCTGATCAAGAGCCTAAATTTGGTGTTCTGAATTGCTCTCTGGGTGCACTAATTTGCTCCCATAAACTAAACCTGAAGGTCTCAGATGTGATTTGTACCTCAGTGACCTAATTCTGTGAATATTCACACAGTCAGATTTCTTTACATATGTGAGCTGTCACACTGGCTTCAGCAGCCACCTTGTACATGTAAGCTGCAGCTTGTAACTTGACATATGGAACTGTGTTTTGAAGGACTGCTTTTTTTAAGCTGTGATTCATTTATGCAGAGGCCTGACACTTTTTTCCCTTTAACCTGTGGTGAACTGTGTATATCTCTGCCATTATTGGAGAAGAATATCACTTTACTCACATATTTTCATAATCAACATGTTTGATGATTGTACTGAAATAATTTCTGCAGTGCAGCAATATTCTCTAAAAGGTCTAGAGATTAAAAATGTATAACTAAAGAGATTGTTGATTTACTTCCTCTCCTGTTTTAACCAGGGAGATGCAGGACCTCCAGGACCAGCTGCCTTGAGTGTGAGTACATGTAAAGAAAAACAGCCAAAAGAAAATCCCTAAGAAATGCTGCATGTTTTTCACTAATTTGCAATGTGAATACTCCCACTTATAAGTCTAAAAGTCCCTTTCTTCATAGTGCCTCTGCATTTTCTGTATGGCTTGTGTAGGGAATTCTGTAAATATAAAAAAAAAAAATAAGCAGGTTTAAAACATCTTGTTTCCTCTCAAATGCTAACAAGGATATTATCTTGTTTATTCCATGTATAAATAATGTGGATTTGTTCCAGAGAAGGAATTCCCTTGGTGTTTTAAGGAAAAGCATTTTTCAGTAGAAGTTTGCAAAAATGATCAATGCTTTTAGGGTATTCTGGCTAGACACTGCTGTATGGATGGTGGAAAATGTTCTTGATTTCCTTGCAATCCAGACCCCAAGCATATACAAAGCCTGAAGAAAAGTATTCCCAAAACTCTGCAGGACGTGTGTTGTTTTCTTCATAAGAGTAATAAATCCAGTCTGAATTCTATGAATTCTAGTGGCTTTGCTCATGAGCTGAAATGAAAAGCCCTTCCATTCTGAACAGTCTGTTTGGGTAAAACCAATTCCAAATGGTGCAAAAGAGTGTGGCAAAAATGAAAAAAAAAAAAAAAAAAAAAGATGAGAAAAGGTTCCAAATTCCCTGGCTGTAATTTCACAACATGAGTAGCTCTTCTCCCAGACTCAGTGTTATGAGCCACATCTATACTGTTCATGTTACCCATGTAATCCTAAATAAATTTCAAAAGAACTGTCATTTATAGTGTAAATAGTTTATACATGGTCTTTTCCCTCCCTTAATTTCCAACACTGTAGCAGCAGGATCCTCATTAGAGTTTACAAACATTGAAGGATATAACAGAGACCCATATGATAAAAATAAATTCTACTTTTTAGGTATCAAAATTAAGTTGCTGTGTTTTAGACTACTTGTTTTTTGGATTATGAATTATAATATCCCGTATCTCTATTTTCTGGGAAGAAGTTAGTGTTTTGTCCCAAGATCAGTGACTCTTTGCTGCAGTTCATATCTTACTGGAGGCAAACAGGTCCATTTATGTCCTTTAGTTCTTGAATATACAAACTGTATGTTGGAAGAGTTAATATATTATTAAAATAATATTGGTAACCTGGAATTTTACTGTAGTAGATGCATTGGAGTTTGTCTTGCTTTAGATAGATTCTTACAGGCCTTGAAGGGATCATAAGAATAGGAATCAGACACATCTGAAGATAAGACAGGGAAAAAACCTGAGAATATCTATTTTGTGTGTGCTCTAACACCTCTTTTTGAGAATTTTTTATGTAAGTGATTGAAAAATTAGTACATCTGTTCTGGTAGAAGTACCTGGATATGTTAAATCTCTTTTTTTTTAATGTGTTCATTGTCTTAAGTTACAGTTGTGGTCACTTAGCTTTCCTAAGAATCATACTCAGAGGTCAGTAGTATGATAGCAAGAATCAGAGAATATGCTGAGTTGGAAGGGACCCACAAATTGGAAGGGATCATCAAGTCCAACTCCCGGCCCTGCACAGATCCATCCCCAAGAGTCACACCACATGCCCAAGAGCATTGTCCAAATGCTTCTGGAATTTTATCAGGCTGGTGCTGTCACCACTTCCTTGTGGAGCCTGTTCCAGTGCCCAACCACCCTCTGGGTGAAGAATCTTTTCCTGATACCCAAACTAAACCTCCCTGACACAGCTTCAGGCCATTCCCTTGGATCCTGTCACTGTCACCACAGAGCAGAGATCAGTGCCTGCCCCTCCTCTTCCCCTCACAAGGAAGCTGTAACTGCAGTGAGGTCTCCCCTCAGTCTCCTCCAGGCTGAACAGACCCAGTGCCCTCAGCTGCTCTTCCCTGCAAGGCCCTTCTTTCTCCTTGTGGCCCTCATTTGGACACTCTCTAGGGACTTTATATCTTTCTTATATTGTAGTGCCTAAAACTGCACAAAATATTCAAGGTGAGGCTGTCCCAGTGCAGAGCAGAACAGGACAATCCCCTCCCTTGCCCAGCTGGCCATGCTGTGCCTGATGTGCCCCAGAACAGTTTTATCCCTCCTGGCTGCCAGGGCACACTGCTTTCAGATAGACTGGATTTACTCCTTCTGTACTTTAAGTGATCCAATTTCATAAAATGAATGTCCAAGAATTGCATTTCTTTGATTACAAAATGCTTTGCAAATGTTTCAGTTCATTGATTCCAGCACAGCAAGGTGCCTTTGTGTTGGTACATTTACTGATGGTCACCTTTACACTTTTAAAAAGAAAATATTTAAATTTTAGGAAAACAGACACAGTCTTCAGAGGGATGTTAGTAAGTGATGTAGACAAGAGTGAGTGTGAATGGGTTTAGCAGTTTGAAGACAGATTACAGCAGAGTGGGAATGCACAGCCCAGCAGGAAGGCTTTCTCTCTTGGCCACTGTAATTCGTTGTGTGTTTCTCTTGGCAAGAGCTAAAAGATTAATTACATGAGTGATGGTGGCTAAGGGAAAATTCAGTTTTCAGAGTGGTTTTATTTGTGTGGCTTCTGTGTGGCTGTGATTCTTTCAATATATAATCATGAAAGGAAGGTGTCATATCTAGCTGTGAATAAATAGTAGGTCAGATAATATCACAGTTGATATGTCACTTAATGAGAACTTACTGTGTCTGAACCATTCATGCTGTTATAGCCAAAATATGATGTAAGTCTTTCAATTATGAGTCCTGTTAAAGTTTTAAAGTGTTCCATTCATTTGGGATGAAGGCATAATGTCATAAATTTACCCCCTGCTTCCAGTAATTTTTATTTTTTCCTAATGTGAAAATTATTTATTTTTATCTAAAAGATAAATGAATTATGCTGGGGGCCGTGGAGAGAAGAGAAGTGAAAACGATGACACACTGTTAGAAATAAATCCTAAGTATGACTTTTGGGCAGGGAGGAAGGGAATATTAAAAGGGACCAGCTTTTGCTCAAACTGGACAACTGGGCCTGGGTCATCGACCTTCTGCCCCAGTGCCATTGCACACAGAGACAGGTGGTAAATGATGGCATCATACAGAGCTCTACTGCCCTGTGCAGCATTTCCATTCCTGTGTATTTCCATAGAAATCATACATCAGTGGAGTAAGCTGTATGAGGTCTATCTATACATTCTTATTTCAGTATAAACTAGACCATCAGTAGTGTTGTTCAGGGTCAGAATGTTCTCCCCATACACAGACCTGTTCCATGCTTCTATCCTTGGCACAGGGAGTGTGAAAGTAACAAAAAACTGAGACTGCAGCAGCTGGTTGGTCCAGGGAGAGTTGCCTGTAAGTAATCTATACAAGTATGTAACAGCATGCAGTAGAAATTCTTGGGAGTTTTGGGTTTTTTTGTTTGTTTTTTTCATCTGTGCTACTGGCACCTGCAAAAGTCTAAAAGATGTCAGTGACTCTGTGTCTAAAAGTGTTTGTGCAACTCTGATGAGTAGGAAATCCCACACAGCTCAGAAGCATGAGCAACATGGGAACATGAGAAAATACAGAAGAGAATGAAGGGATTGGTACCTGGAGGGAAAAAGTATATTTTTAAGTGTTCAGTTGACAGATATAGCCATTATAGTATGGAATGAGGGAAACTTCAAGGCAGTATGTATGGCAGAATTCATAAATACCCAACAGCTGTAGCAACCTATTAGATAGATGAGCATATGCCAAACTGCAAAATAGGCAAAAAAATAGCACTGCTTTTTAAGATGCAAGAATTATTTTATGAGTTTGAAATTGAAATTTCATAGCTGAGAAAGTGCATCTGAAAAATAGAGTAGAGCTCTGGATCTTCCTGGTTGATGCGAGTTAACAGAAAATTTCGCACTGTAATCCTAACAACATTAACATTCAACAAAACTTCTCACTTGGAGCAATAGCACAGAATTCAGAAAGAGATGGGATTAGAATTCCATGTGTTTCTGTGCATTTATTTAAAGTAGGTACATAAGTCTTGTTAATACAATTTCATCAATCATGCATGAAGAATTGGAGAAAAGAAACAGCATTGTGATGTAAAATATGCTAATCTGTAAGAAGAAATATGTGATACATTTTATAGATTTCCATAGAACTCTACTGAAATTAACAATTTCAATAATTCTAAGTATATTTGTTTGACTGGGCCATTATTCATACAAATACATTTTTTATAAATTTGACATATATATATATGTGTGTATATTTCAGCCCTTTTATTAAGGGCGTAAAGTTTCCCTGTGTTTCTATGAGTCAGTTAACACTCCCCAGGTCCAGATATATGTATGTATTTTTTTTCTCATTTATGGTGGTATTTTTATGGGAGTGGTCCAAAATCATGATTGATTCACAGCCTTTTTTATGCTGTCTCTAATTTCTCTGCTATGTTCTGAATTGCTCTGTAAGTAGTAGATGTCTCTTTTCTTTAGTACTTTTCAGGTGTCTTATGAATAAATGCTGTGATTAAATTTTGAACTTTTCTCCTTTATTATGTCAACTTTATGAAGCAATATGGGGGATGTTTAAAGCTTAAGTTCCCTGATAAATTGCACGGTAGCTGACGAACCTTCAGTGAGTAAAAAGGAGGGATTGTACTGCTCTGTAGTGTGGTTTTGCCTAGATGTGGGATTTAGAGGCAGAAGCTGGGGACTGTGTTGTGCAGGGTCACAGCTGGCTCCACAGCTTGCCCGCTCTGATATCCCAGCTTAAGCCTGTGCGTGCCGTGTCAGAAGAGTGACAGGTGAGGGAAGGTAGCGCAGCCATCCCTTGTAAAATATACGATAACTATTCCCCTCGACACTCGATACGCTGCCTTTAGTTCCTGGGGAAAATGAGCGTCCGTCCGTACGTTCCTGCGAACCTATCCCTTTCAGGAGTTATAAAATAGTCACCCAGATGGCACCAAGTGTTTACTCAGAAGCCAAGGCTTAAGTCGGTCACAGACAGAAGTCCTCAGGACTTGCTTACTAAACAGATATTTGGAATGT